AGATACAATAAGTACTTTCCCCAAGATCAAATTAATGTATGGTCTATTTGAAAGTCTAAGTACTTTAAAACAGTCATCAAATAAGTAAAATCCTGACAATAAGTGTAATAAAAATCTCATGCTTTCTATAAATTGTTCATTGCCAAGTCCGAGTCACAAAATCACAGTAAGTTGTGAACCTAACTAGTTTTAAGATTTATGATGTTTTTTGCTCTTATAGCCATTGTTATGTTTTAATTGTTCACTGTTATTTCCCTGTTGTTGCTGTTAATTTGACCTGTGATATTTATTACACATTATTTAGCCTTTTGTTACATCATTGTTACATTTTATTTCTGTAGCATTTTGGTTGTTGACTAAACATGCGCAACCAGATTTATCCACGTCGTGTATGGAGCTGCGATCTCATAGTCAGCTATCATATGGCTGTCAGTAATTTTAAGAATCAACTAAACCGAAGTGTTGACATGTACATATAGCTGATCAACATAGGTATTTAAATAATTATAATTGACAAGTTATTTTTCTACGTTCATTTCTCAGTACATTTAGTGCTAATGTAGAAACGTAGAGCGTTCTAGAATTACGATGGTAATTTATTTGTAACTTGCTTTGTAATTTTAATATAACAGCAATAATTATTGCTTCTGTCGATTTTTTTCGTATACTTTGAGGATGTGTTCCGTTTAAGATCGTACGTGTAAGTTTTAATGTTAATTTCGGAGGAAATTCGGTATTAACAGATAATCCATGACGCTTTATAATTAGGTTCGACGAAATCTAGAATTTCGGATAGTAATTTCTTCGATAACCACTTTCAATAATTGCTTTATTGCACGTTACGATTGGGTTAGCAGTTTGATCTTCTCTTTTAATGTTACATCGCATGGAACTACATTATCGTTATCTTTACCTTATATTAATATCTATGTAAGTTAGGAGTATTCGCATATTTAATCAAACGTCTTCCAAAGTGACGTAAGTTATAATTTTACGTTTTATTTCATCATGACATAGTTTTTTTTTATATTTTACAATAAATAAATTAAGTGATCATTTCCAAAATTCTATTTAATTATCGTTTTCCCACATTAACATTTTGGACACGATTAAGCTACTAGGTTTATTTGAGAGATTCATTTCTTAACCTTAATATTGGTTTAGTTATCAAACTAAATAAGTATTCGTATAATATACATGATATGGTAAAATATATACTAATAAGTAGTAGAAAACCACACGAAATTTGCGTTGAGCTTCCAACACGATTAGATGTAAATACAGAATAATAAATCCACTTTGTCACTATAGGATCTTTCTTCTTCAGAGCCGGTGTACATTGAATGATGCTATATGGTAATGTTACGGATATGGCAACACTTTAAAACGACTAACACATTACGAGTGTAATTTTACATCGCTACCTATTTGTGTTACAAATCAGAGTAATTAAAATTTTTGTTACATTTTGTTTCCCAAAACAGACTGAGTGTTACAAGTTATTTTCAAAATTTTTTTTTGTATTTTAGAGCCATTTGCCGTTTATTCAAACGTTACCACATGGCAGCTTTCGGTGTATGTCAGCTCTTTATCAATGTACAGTTTCACTGTTATGTATTTTACGTAATTTCATTTCTATGTATAAATATGTACTTCGAATTACGGTTACAAAGTTTATTTGAAATTGTTTAATTTTCAGACCAGTTAGTATGTAACAATGTTTACAAGTTCCTTAGAAAATAATTCGTTTATCCTCCCTTTGTGGATGTTGACTTTGATCTCGAATATTTGTTTGTTCTAGACTTTGTGTGCCTTATTTTATTAGTCATAAAGTTTAAATTAATTCATTCAAATTAACGTTGATTAAGATTTTGTGTATATTCTAGTTGCAATTTTAGTGTGTTACTTATTTAATGAAAGCAATCGTAACTGGTCTTATAATAAGTGTAAAGATCTGTATGTGAATGGTTTATGATACAATAATTTATATATTATGGTCGAAACGGCATAATATAGGTTAAAATTGAATGTATGAGTCGTCTCATGTTAATGTTAATATTAATCTTCGTCTAGATGTAACTTTTGGTTTGTTATGATTATTATTTTACCTTTTCTAGCCACGAGTAATGGCGATTGTTGTGTGAAAATTAAAGATGGTTTGTCTACATTGCTTCAGTCATGTTAGGTAGGTAACATTTCTTACTCTTATCTCAAACATTATTCCACTAACGTAACTATATGTATATTAATGTTGTTTCCTGTTAGTCCTGTTACATACATTCCTAATCTCTTAAATTTTTGATGCAGGTTCTTCAAAGCTCACAAAATAGTCTGTGACAATGTTTTTGTTTTGACAATCTATTCTAGGAACAAGATACCTACTGTCAATTTGTCACTATTTTCACACTTAGCTCTTGTCATAAAAAAAATGCTTACTACTGATTAGTTCTTTCCACACTAATAACGTTAATTACTGAAGTGAAGTGAAAAATCTGTTTACTGTAGCTAGATCTGTGTTTTTTATTAAAAGAAATCAAAGTACAATCATAAAAGCGCACAATTTTAACACTATAATAGGAATTTAGGCACCACTTAGGTTACATTAAAACCAAAGTATCCTTTAATAAAGTATGTGGAAAAAATGTGAGAAGTCTTATCCCTTCATTTGCGTCGTAGAAAAACAACGCTTTGAAAGTACTTCTGATGAAAAATATGTTATGGTTGTATCCCTGTTTTGTGCACCAAATAAAATAAATAAAATAAAATAAAGGTGGTGTCTACAGTGACTATTTTCCAATAGTTAGTGAGAGAGCTTTATAATTTAGTAGCTTTCGATTGTAAAGATTGATCCTATATTTTGTCATAGACATGTAGACATGTTACATCTATAATTTTTACACACACAAATCGACCGGTGAAAATGGCGTCAGCAAACGAACACCACAGTAAATAATACAAAATATAGATGATAGATAGACAAGCGTGAATTCCTAATTTATTTTAAATATAAGGTACTTAATATAACATATACAATAATAGACTTCTATGAAAACTCTCAATAGTATAATATAGGTAATAAAATATTAGAATATATTAGTTGAGTGAATCGTTCGTTGTCTATGGACAAAGGTCATTGCCACTGATATATTTAAGGTCTATGCACTATGCTATATACATATATAAATAAATAATGTTCGTATAATATTTATAAGTCATGATAGCTCAATAATATACGGTACTCTATGAAATTGTATATTAAAGTACATAGCATAAGCAATTAATATAAATAATTTTAGGTAAATGGATTGATTAGAATAAGATGCGAAATAATATACATAATTAAATCTAGACGTACGGTTGTAAGATTAAGTACATTTTGTAATGTTAAATTAATTAAATCAAAATCAAGCACTACCACGTACTATAATACACTCATGACTTCTAACTGCTAATATTGAAATGTATTATAAATATGAACTATAAATATTAAATGTTATGCGTTAATTATACAACGAGCGTTTTATTTACACTTTTCCAACTCCACAAATATCAATTTATAACATAATCACACAAATTAACTTCACGATTAAAATATGAAACGAAATGAAATAGGTATTGTATAGTATTAAAGCAATTAATCTGCCATTTCATTGGATATGCCTCAAACTATTTGCAATATCAATTCTATTTTGTTAATTAATTTAAAAACTTTAAATTTTTTAACATTTTTCATTATAGTGAGCCTTACTTGTGTGTGTACGTGTACATGCACATAACGTAGTGTAATGTCTATCAAAACTTACTAATATGAAAAACGAACAGTAGCAAGCCACCACACATGTAAAGCTCACCTGCCTTCGTGAATTGCAATATAAACTATACACTAAAAAGTCAAGTAATATTATGTTATTAATTTTTACAAATTTATTGTCTGTATTGTCAAACATTATTGGCATATTGTCTATTTGCCTGAAAGTCAAGAATAAAGATATTAAAATACTCTTTTAAAGATCTTAAACTTGTCNACACTTTTTCAACTCCACAAATATCAATTTATAACATAATCACACAAATTAACTTCACGATTAAAATATAAAACGAAATGAAATAGGTATTGTATAGTATTAAAGCAATTCATCTGCCATTTCATTGGAAACTATTTGGTAATATACATACATATATCAATTCTATTATGTTAATTAATTTAAAGACTTTAAATTAATAGCTGCGGTTTTCATTATAGTTCTTGTAACTCACGAAGGCAAGTGAGCTTTACTTGTGTGTGTACGTGTACATGCACATAACATACTACGTATGGTAATGTCATCAAAACTTTTGAAAAACGAACAGTAGCGAGCAACCACACATGTAAAGCTCACTCGCCTTCGTGAATTGCAAGAAAGTAATATGTTATTAATTTTTGCAAATTAATATTATTGTCTGTATTGTCAAACTTTATTGGCATATTGTCCATTTGCCTGAAAGTCAAGAATTAAGACAATAAAATAAAACTTTCAAAGATCCTACCTAAACTTGTCATAAATTCTAGAACTAGGTATCAATTTGTCAAGAGATATAAAATTATTACTTTGTTTTCCTATAAATAATAGACTCTGTGGCAAATCGACAATAGTCATAGAAATCGACTGTAATTTATCTGCCATAGACATAGTGGGATGTCCACCCACAAGGACCGACGACATCATAAAGGTAGCATAAACGCTTCCACCTTCGGCCTGATCATCACTTACCATCAGGTGAGATACAGGCCAAGAGCTTCCTCGTTGTGTATAAGAAAAAAAAAGGAAAGCGCTGGACCTAGGACGCTACCAACCGGGTAACTTATATCCAAAAAATAGCACACCGACTTGCAACTGGAGTAATCCAATAGCACCTTTTGCAAGGCATAACAAATGATCATTTATAAAAAAAAAACCGGGTAACATTCAAGGAAACAGATGAAATTGAAACAATATCTATTATGAAAAAACGTCATTTTATTATCCAAAGTTACTGCTAAACAATGCCCACGGTTGCCTCGCTGTGTCCACTTGTGGGGCTGGTGCGTTGTAGTAGCCCATAGCCCAGTCTACTAAAGATATTGGGCAGGAGTACTTATCACAGTCTGAGAGAATGTTACTGAGGCGATGGGCCGAGTCGTAGATGGAATGTTCTAAAGGTTCCACGGGGAGGACTTTTGACATTGGCAGCCTGGAATAAAAAAACAAGTGTTAATTTTGTTATATTTTATAAACAGAGATAAAATTGGTTTTCTAGACTTTTAAAAATAAAATATGAAAAATCTTGAAATTTACACAAACGTATTAGTTACTCGTACCTTGCCTAGTGTGAGAGAAAGTAAAAGAAAAAATGCAATTATTTCCTGAATCAATATGAGAGAGAAACAAACAACAATTGGATAAACAAACTTGCATAATTAACTTACTTCTTATCAGAGACGCAACACAAACTTTAGATTATGTAATGTATTACCTATGTAGGTAAACATTATGGTACTTAATTATAGTGACGGATTAGTATTGAAAATATTTTGGATGATCTGGGATTTGTTTGAAATAAGTTTAAGTAAGTAAATAGCAATAAAAGCATGTTATACTTACGTAAAGATAGTCCTAAACATTTCTTCAATCATGTTGTTGCCCCCTGGCACAATGCGCTGTTTCGTTTCACATAGAGTCTTCAGTACACACTGTCTCCCACTGTACCCCATGCTGGAAAAATCAATTAGATGTTTAGGGAGAGAAACTAACAGAGAATGACAGAACTTTCTCCCAAGACAAACTTGACCTTCACTGGTAGGGTTTTTACTGGCGGTCAAGCTGTAGATCCTGGCTACACAGGAGTTGCAGCAGTCGGAACGAGAGGTGGGAATAGTACCGTATTCAGATGAATTTTGTCAGTTTGTTTTTGAAGTCGTAGCAGTAAGTAGCTAGTTTGTATAGGCAAAAAAATATGATAAATGAATCATTCAATTGCAGTCAAAATATGTGGCATAGTCGTTTCGATATCGTCACACGACGGGTGTAAAAAAGTTCATTAAGTAATCATGCATTATTACTTACGAGTATAGTAATAAAATGGCCAAGCCACATATTTTGACTAAGGTGTAGAGTTTATGAAGTTAGGGCAAGTAGAAAACTTGCCTCTACATGAGACCTGATAACTTTTTTACGTTGTGAACCATCTGGTCTCACCTGGCAACATTTTACACAAAAATATTTTTGATGAGATCTAATTTTAAAAACATAACTTTTACGTTTGTGAATAAATTAGACTGAGTTGCACCAACTTATTTTATCCGTAACTATAACCATAACTCATATTTTTTAATGGATTTTGAATGTTTGTAAATGTTAAAGTCTGCCTGCTGCTGTCTTTCCCGAATACTATAATCCGGGCGTTTTCAAGGCGAGAGTGAATAGGCACTTACAGGACAGATATGTACCATCCTAGACTGCATCCCACTTAACATCAGGTGCGATTGTGGTCAAATATTATCCGCCTTGTTATGCATAAAAAAAACAGTACCTATGATAGTGCAACCCAGCCTAAGACTTACTTTTCCAAAATCAGCTCCAACTTCCCATACAGGTCCCTTCTGTTCCTCCTCTGCGTCATTGCCTTCTGGTGCTTCAGTCGATACTTCTGGTGGTAGTAGGCCAGGGTCTCGGTGGCATTGGGCAGCTCGTATGCTATGCCCCAATTCAGGCCGAAGGTGAACGTTCCAGCAGCTGTTGTTGGAGACGGCTGACCGATTAGACCTACGGTTACGCAGCCGGCACACTGGAATGAGAAGAAAAGAGATGTTTGAAATGTTTGATGAAAATGAATTTTCAATGAAAATTTTCTTTTGCTGACAAGTTTTCACAGATATGGAAAGCCAACTTAAAAAAACTGATAAAAAATTACATTCTATATTCATTAATTCGTTTCAGCCGAAAGACGTCCACTGCTGGACAAAGGCCTCCCCCAAGGATTTCCACAAAGACCGGTCCTGCGCCGCTTGCATCCAGGTACTTCCCGCGACCTTCACCAGATCGTCGGTCCACCTAGTGGGAGGCCTGCCCACGCTACGTCTTCCAGCTCGTGGTCGCCACTCAAGAACTTTCCTGCCCCAGCGGCCGTCAGCTCTTCGAGCTATGTGCCCCGCCCACTGCCACTTGATTTTAGCGATTCTGCGGGCTATGTCAGTCACTCTGGTTCTCCTACGGATCTCCTCATTTCTGATTCGATCACGCAGGGAAACTCCGAACTCTACAAAAACTTACTATAATACCTTACCATAACTCTACAAAAACTTACTATAATATCGATAGACTTATTTGTAAAAAGAATTTAAATTCACACAAATAATGCTAGGAGACAAATAATAACTTAAATATCACTTTTTTATAATTTTATCCACTCACCGAAAAACTTGATCCTTCAGGAAAAGTCACATACCTCCTCCTTCTGGACAAAACTTTTGATTTCTTCGAACCGTATTCTTCATAATCGAAACAAAACACTGTGGCGCATACTAACAAACAAATGAAAAGCGAATATTTCTCCATATTTTTTATTTTTAACATTTACCGAGTGACAACTGGCCAGTATACTAAATGAAAGTAAGTAACGTTCTTACGTTACCAATCCCTGAGTAACGGTAATACCAATTGTCGTGTCTCTGTAAGTTTTGAAACGGTGTTTGAGAATGTCACTAAGTATCCCCAATTGGACTTGCATGATCTAGATTTGTTTGAATAAGGGTCAGGTAGACTGAACTAGTTTCCGAACTGGTTTATTTTTAACAAGCAATAAATTCTGAATTGATCTACTTGTATTCAATTTTGACACAAAATCCACAGCTCTTAAGGTAAAATATCACAATATTATTAGAAAAGCAATGATGCGATTTCATCATACTAGTACCTACGACAGTTGGAGTTGAAGAAGTTGAATTATGTTTAAAAGCTTATTATAATAACAAATTGTACCATTAGTAACAAAATCAGTTTTTATATTAAAATCTTAAACATACTGTGGAACATATTGTAGAACTAACCTGCACAAAATCTTCCAATAGTTAGTTCAGTAGACGTCACGTCACATAGACATTTTTGTAACAAAATAGTATACATCACAACTACCTAAAGGCTTGACAAGCCATCGTCTGTATACATATAAGTACTGTCGCTTCCATCTCAGAAACAACGCTCCGTAGAGCCGACGGTAATTGAAGCAGAAAGGCTGTAAAAGCTTTTTTCAATGATTTATTGGGTCAGACATTGATTCTGTTAAAAATAAAGAGACAAAGTACGCGTCAAAAGGTCGTGTTGCAAACGTCAGATGAGGGTAAAATTTGCTTTTACGAAGGTAAGTGTTTTCGAGCTTCGATTTTTGCATGGAGAATGCATGAAGAGTCGCGATAATGATGTTTGGTTTAACGTTTGAGTAGAAAAATGTTTGTGATTTGCATGTATGAAAAATACAAGTAAACTAATATTTTACAGAGTAAATCAAGTATTTGTTTCACTGTAATTTAGTTAATCGGCAAGGCGAGCTTATTCGATTCAATCTAAGTCACATGAGACTTGCCGACTTGAACACCCGGTATGTTTCTCAACCCGGCCGGGCCCGGTTGCATTCGTCGCCAACCCGGCCGGGCCCGGCCGGGCCCGGTAACCTTGCAGACCGGGACCCGGATTGCAATCCCTAATTTGGATAATAGATCCAAATTAGGGATTGCAATCCGGGTCCGGTTTCAGTTCAGTTAGGTCCAGGGTTTAGGTATTGCAGAATCCATAATTACCTAAAACTTTAGTCTCAACCCGATAATGTCGAGTATGAATAATTTTTTCGTTGATTTTATTGTAAATTCAAACTAATAAAATTCAGGTAAAACGCAGCGTCTACGTTTTCACAAAAATAGGAAACAAAACAGCAACAAAATAAGTCTTTTAAAGTAAGTAACTCACAAAATAGACTGCCAAAAAAGATACAAACCGCGATGATTTAATTTCGTCTCAAAAATCAGTTCATACATCAATCAAATGAAAAATTAACAAACTCTTGACCTAGCTTTGGGCAGACATGACAAACATTTCACATATTGGCGGTAGGGTGAGTGGGCCGGTGACAGATCGCGGCCGTTCCATTAGGCCACAGGCAGTGGAGAACAGCCACTACGGTTCAGCTGAAACGTTGGTTAATGTTTGAGGTTCACAGTAAAATAGAGGTTTTACTACGTAGTAAGACAATGTACTATTGGCTTCAAAATAGTAGTATGTACTGATATTAAAATACTTATATTAAACTTAATAAATTTAGGGCCCTGCCCATAAATGCAGTTTGGGTAATGAGTAGCATCGTAGCATTTCCACCCTGTTCTTCGCTTCTCATAAGAGGCTACTCAGAACCTCAGAGACAGCTTACCATCGTCTACATTTCTTAAAAATAGAGGCTCGATTCGGAAAGCATGACGAAGCATAATTTGAATAGCTTAATCTTTTTCAGCTACAATCCTGGCTATGAGTTCCTCACTGAAGAGCTAACCATGCGCGCCACCGCTACATTATTTACACAAAATTAAATATAACACTGGTCAACAAAAAATCAAAATTAAAATGGTGCCGAGATTCTGTTGATAGTTTATTATTAGGTGTGTATTAGTAATAATAAAAATATTTTTCTTTTTTTTTCCTACGTGTAGTTTTTGATCTACCCTCAGTTTTAAATTTTAGCTTTAATCGGTACTTTGGTTGCACAATTTGTAGTGTTATCGGTATATTTTTAAAAAGAAATTTATTTTATATCATGTCTGCATTGCCAAGAAGTTGCCTCAACGGTCCAAATGTAATTTGTTACATTTGTGATGTGTACACAGTTAAGAAGTTCAAAAATTTTGAGAAAAATTTAATAAAAAGTGCTTATTTTTCTTACTTTAAGTCGGAAATTGTGGTTGTATTCAAGCCGTGGATACCTTAAATTGTTTGTATAATCTGCTGTGAACACTGAGGCAATGTTTCAATGGTCAAAGAAGCCATATCATGAAGTTCAGAGTGGAAAAAGTGAGAAAAAAACAAAAAAAAATCCTGGTTTGAGCATAAAAAAAGATTAAAGCAGTAATTTTTGATGGCCCACAAATAAGAATATTAATAAAAGATACTGATTTCTTAAGTTTGATGGACGTTTGGAACGATTTACGTGGACTCCGTTCTTTGAAGTTACTAAAAATTTTCTCGGAAATCACAGGTCTAGTAACTACTATGAAATTGTGAGACATGCCTTAAAAACTCAGGATTTAATAATTTTCATCGAAGGGCACTACCTCCACAGTCATCTTGACCAATTCTCAGAGAATCTTGGGTCACTATAGCATGCTATAGCTAAGAACAGGGAGAGCGATGCTATCAAGACCTAAAAACCATTGGAAGAGAGGTACCAAGGCAGATGGGATCGGTATATGATGGCTGATTACTGGTGGAGGATGTAACGTGATAGTTCCATTACACCTCATTCACAAAAATCGTGGAAAAGAAAGTTTTCAAGCACTTTAAAATGTTATAAACGCTGATTTTGGTGAAATTTTGTATTTTTCTATACACGTCAAAATCTAGAAAACCACACGTAGGAAATCAACCATTTTGCTACTAAAGCAACCAGTATAAGGTCCTTAATCAAAAAATATATACAGTTCCTTGGCACCAAAACCACTGTTGACCAGTGTAATTTGTTCCCTTGCTGGCTGATTTATATCGTGCTGTGGCTAGGTGCATTAAAACTGGGACAAAAAGTGACTACCATTACCCAGCGGATAAAATCATGACTGTTTCGGCCACACGCTGGAGCCGTCCGAACTTTATTTGTCAAATGCTAAAGTTTTCCCACTTGCTGATTAAGTCCCTGATAACTTATTATGAGTCTTATCTGTCAGATAAACTAGGAAAGTTTGTATCACAGATCTTTATTTGTTAGTGAACATTTTGTGACCAAACGGACGCCAAAGGTTTTAAATCTAAAGCCTGAAACTGATCTTTTTTTTTATCCACAACGAGGAAGCTCTTGGCCTGTATCTCACCTGATAGTAAGTGATGATCAGGCTGAAGGTGGAAGCGAGCTTCACCCGGAATCCTCAACCACGGAGGAACTGGCTATCTTACCTCTAACTTCCGGAACACAACAATGCTAGTGATCATGAAAATCATGTTAGTGATCTGAAAACCTACACTTTAGCTTTCTTTCTTTCCTCTGATTTACCCTAACAATTCAACTTAAAATTCCGCACCTAACGAAATTTCTGGTGCATTTGCAAAAGTGCTAACATAATTTAGTACCGCATTCCCCCAACATTAGCAGGGTTTAACCCCCCACAGTCATCCCATCCTCAGTTTTAAAAGCTTCCAAGATTTATGGCGAGCATATATCAAGCCGTCGCCAGTTGTCTTAAGGCTCTATTTTCTTCGGAAATTCAAATTCACGATCTTTAGACCTAAAGTTTCTACGTAATGCCTATAGGATCAATAGAGAATTTGCAAGGTTTTTTATTTCTCACCTTTCAGTACCCTTGGCATTGAATCATTTAGTGCTTTTCTGTAACAAAAATATCAAAAAATACCGAACATATAGACATTAGAAACCTCGTGACGTGACACGTCACTTGATACGCTAGAAAAATACGCAGAGTAGGTACCTTATAAGTCATGTGACGTCACGATTAGCTGTAAAAGTTTCAATGCTTTATTTATTTGTTTCCAGTCCGATTCCAATACTCATTTTACAGAATTTTAAGTTTTAAATAAAGTGTTTATTTATTAACTTTTAAAATCAACGTTATTCCCTATTGTCTCGGATTTGGGAAGTTATTAATTGTGGATTAACCAGAGTATCAGCTGCTATTTATTTAGGTGTTACACAAACCCTTTTCATAAAATAATTAACTTTAGATGATTTACGACCGACTCCACAGGCTTTTGAGTACAAATTCGTGTAAAATTCAAAATTCAGTCTTAATGTCATGTGGTTAAGTTACTTTTTGTCAGTCGCCTGGTCTGGGGATCATAGAACAGAAGCCAGTGATAGCTGATTCAAGTCCCGCTATGAGCAAATTAATGTCATTTTGATTGGTACAAACAATCATTGAAGTTTAAAAAAAATATGTATGAAATAACATGAAATATTTTTAGTAATTATTTTACAATATTTGATCAACTCAAGTAAAAGGTAAAGTAAAACTCAAAAAACTAATTTTAACAAATATTCTTTGGTATTGCCTAAAAATTGTCCTTTTAATAGAAAGCAATTTTGTTTTTTGGACGTTACACCTTTATGAGCTAGCAGTTTTTGCACCAAGGGTTTTTTTCTCTATCTAGGTTTATTCATATCCAAAATAAAATGTAACAACGAGAATGGACATTCATGCATCCTGTCACAAACGTGGGGGTCTATGACGTCATCGTAACCTTCTTTCATGACGTCTTCGAACTCTTTCTCGAAGGCTGGAATCCTGAAAACATATATTATTTCTTTACTAACAAATCACAATAAAAACAAAAGAATTAAGGGGGCCATCAGG